TGCCAGTAGACGTGCAGTATTATAATGGTTGGCTCAAACACAAACACCCCTCGCCCTTCTAGGAACTTCACTGACTTTGAAAAAGCCCCATGTAGGGAAGTGATCATTTTGAAACCCTGGGCTGTGTTCATTGAGAGGCTGACAAGAGCCAGAGGAAGAATTACCAACCTCCCTGGTAATCTGGCTCCTAGTACCATGCATTAAGCCAACTAGTAAAAATCATTATGAAGTTTTTGCTGAAAGGGCAAGTGTAGAAAAACATGTTTCTAAACAGAATAACAGTCTTTGCCATTTTTTCCCAACTTGCATACCATCTGGAAATTCTGATTTTTTTTTTTTTCAAAGGGTAGGAAAGAAATGTGCTCCAGGCACAAATAAATGTTTACAGCTGAGTTATAAACCGAGAATGGTGGGGCTTAAAACAGACAGGCTGGCAGTGATAGAACATGAGCTGCAGTGAGACAAATAACGCTGTGGGGGACGGGCCAGCTTGTTTTGCACATTGGCCCTTTTGAATGGGAACTCTTGCTTCCCACCGACCTCATCAAGCAAATGCTTGGGAAGAAGTCTTCACATCTGGGTTTGTTCTAATTCTTAGAAGGTGAAGGAAAAAGATGAAGCAGAACGATGGTCTATCTTGACATTCTGAAGGCAGCCTTCACCTTTGGAAAATACGACGCCTCATAAGAAGTGGCAGCCCGGGGACGCTTGTTAAATGGAGCCACTGAGACATGTCACGATGATGTCAGTGACAGCTAATATTCATGAATCTCTTATTAAGCGCCTGATACCACACACTGTGTTTTATAAGCATCGTCTCACTTATACTGGATGCCAAGAGGGTAAGGGGTACCATTTTACAGATGAGGAACTGGTGGCTGAGGGAGAACACGTGACTTGCTTGTGTTCCTGCAGCTAAGTGATGGAGTTGGTGGTTACAACCAGCTGGACTAACTCTAGAGTCTTCTATTACAGAGGATCTGTTGATGGAATGTTACCAAAAATGTGCCCATCACTTGGTCAAGAAGGAAAGGCTGATATATTGGGAGTTTGGACTCTTCTGCCTCATCTCCTATAATTTATAGTTGCACAACAGTCCAAGGAAAATAGAAATGGGTTTGCAAAGGATACAGAGCGGTGGGCAAACTTCCATAATGGGTCAGATAACAAATACTTTAGGCTTTAGTGGGCCATCTCATCTCTGTTGCATCTACTCAGCTCCACTGTTGTGTGCAAAAGCAGCCATAGGCCATGAATGAACATAGCTGTGCTCCAATAAAACTTTGTTTGCAAAAACACGTGACTGGCCTGATTTGGTCCATGAGATGTTATTTGCTGACCCCTGATATAGAGGACACCTTGAATTTAAAATGAGTGATAGGTTTTGAGAATGATCCATGAAATTCTACTTGGGAGTTTATTCTTTCTTAAGATCAGTGCACAAATTGGCTACATATGATGTGCCCTTTAAAAGCTCTTGTATTCTTTGCCTCTGGGCCTAGCCAATCAAACTGGATTCCCTTATGTTATCTGACCAGGTCAGAACACTGTATTGAATCTTCCTTCTCAAGCCTTATCTAATCCCAGATCTATAGAAAAAGTGCTCTGTGCTCTTGTAATGAAGATGTATGAGTTCATTCCTTTTAACATAGAAATACACTCAAGATGGTGACTGATTCTGGCATTCTGTGGGCTTCCCTTTCTTGATGTGAAACCCAACCACCAAACCAACCACGTTAAGGTTTAACTGAAAGAGAGAATGGAGAAAAAATAAACGATGAACACCAACAAATGGAAAAGGGAAGACAAAGCCCAGAGAACATACTCTCCTAACTAATTAATCAAGTGCTTTGTTTCCACTAACATATCAGAGTGTGTAGGCTGCCCTGTCTATTAGACTCCTTTCCAAATCTGAGCAATGTAAACACTTCTAAAGACCAAGTAATGAAATCTCTATCGATGTGCCATCTTAGATGGAACTCACATACCCTTGTTTTGCTTACATTTTAATTTGCTTCTGCTGGATACTTACCCAGTAATTGCTTAATAAGATTAACCTCCCTGGCAATGTGTGGTGTATCTTGATTAAAACATTATCGGAGTGAAGGATTATTGTATACCAGAAAAAAATGGAGAGGGTGTTATTTAATTAACTTATTGCCAATATATCTTGATTGTCTCTTTGAAACACTGGAAAACTAGTCGATTGGAATCGATTCAGGTTATCTAAATGTATAGAATTGGGGAGTGGGGAGGAGGGAGGTCCCTGCGTAAAGAAACTGAAACCTGGGATCACTTTTTAAAAGAAGACGTAGGTGGGTGTGAGAAAACGAAAATCTTTCTAGTTATTTTTTAAACCAAACTTTACAACAGCTTAAGAGATCTGCTATCTTCAGTCTTAAGAAGAGTACTATTTTGGTGTTCAGAAAGGAGACGTTCCCAGTTTTCTTTCAAGTTTAAGCGATTTTAAATTCTCACACTTTTTCATAAGAGTCCTATTGACAAAATTCATTGGACAACAATTTGGCCACCACTTCCCTGTCTCCTAACTCATTTGGAAAAGAACTGGCGATGTTATACGACTTACACAACATTTTCAAGAGCACGTTGCATCAGAGGGGGAAAATTTTGGTCTTTCCAAAGACACCATGGAAAGTGTTTCTTCATTTGTTAATTTAGAGGCACCGTACTCTTAGTTAGGACTTGTTCTGTGCAGGAATCTTCTGTCTTGCTGGTGTGGGATGCTCAAGTGGGGGTGGCAGTTGGAAACACAGCTTAATCACGAATGCGCAGAGCAGCTGACCTTAATTTACCGAAGTTAATGTCTATCAGTGATTCTCTTTGGTAAAGGATGCCATTTAAAAAGCATTTGTATGTAACTTCAGAATGTAGACACACATGAAATATATCCCTGTGCCTGATAAGCACATATGCATGTTCACTTTCAAATGTGTGTTCTGCATTCTTCTCAAAGGACAGGGCGCTGCTGACTTGCAGATTAAAGTGCGTTTATGGATCAAACAAAGCAGAGACCCCCTTAAAGCAGCGTTTTTCAAAGAGCAGCACTGTGGACCTCTTGGGCAGTATCGCTCTTCGCCGTAGGGGACATCCGATGTACTGCTGGATGTTTAACTGCAGCTCAGCCTCCCCCTGCTAAATGCCAGTTTCACGTCCTCTCATTGGGACACCCAAAGAAGTCTTCGGACTCATGCCCAATGTTCCCTCAGGGCCAAAAACGCGCCGCAGAGAACCACTGTCATAAAGGAAACGGGAGTTGCAGATGGTGTCAAGTACTGGAGGGGAACGGACTGCACATAGGAGGCCAACAGATCCGGCTCCGGGCTTTTTGGTCAGTTAAGGCAGAACACGGTCCATTAAGGCAAAATACACTCTCCATTTTTAGGTCTAGTTTTAGTTACCTGATAATGGAAGGCATATAATTTCATCCTCAGATAAAACTTTTCATGCTTCCTTAAAGGTAATTTAGTGTTATGACTAGGATAGACGAGTAAAGCGATTCTTAAAGATTAGATAAAAAGACAAAAAAAGTCACACTGGAAGCCATTAGGACAACTCCGGGGAGAATAATTTAAGTAACATTAGCATTTCAGGATGACTCACATACACCTCTAAGGGAAGATGAATCCTGGAATCTTCTCTGTGGAAAATGACTGAGCTAAGGGAAATGCCAACATCTTGCCCAAAGATGTGCAAGGCACAGACTTGAGTTTAAATTCGTACCAGGCCTACATGTTTGATTTGGGGCAAGATTCTAAAACACCCTGGGCCTCAGTTTCCCTGAGATGATTTCCCTCCCGTTAAAGCTGTTGAAGTCAGGCAATGCTAAGCTTGGCACGCACCGGCTGCACAATAAACGTTACTTCCTTTCTTGTCTCTGAAATATCTCTGTGGGGTATTTTCAGAAATGTGGGGATAAACTGCCCAATGGGCTAAGAGGCAGAGTGGAAGAGTCTGTGTTTGGAGAAGTCCTTCCATGCCATCTCTCCCGTTGGTGATTTCCGTCCTGAATTAAACACAGCCTGCCGCGGGCCCAGCATGCCTCGTGCGTCTTGCTGTGCCATTGACTGCTGTGGTTTTATTAACTGCCCCACGTCCCTGCCGCCCTCCCCCCACCCCCCCCCCCCCCCCCCCCCCCCCCCCCGCCCCCAGTCCTGTTTTCCCTCTTCCTCTTAGCACCTTGTTAGCACCTTTTTTTTTTTTCCTGCAAGAATACAGTTGCTTGATTGCTTCAATAAACATTTCCATTGTCCCCTTTACCATTCGGAGAAGAGGAGCTTTGTTCCCGAGTTGTCAAAACTCTTTTCTATTCTCTCCTAAAGCGGAACAGCTCAGAATCTTTCTCTTTCATGCCAGGCAGCACTTCCTCCCTGGGGAGGCTGCATCTCTCCTCTGGGGAGAGGGCTCTGGTCCAGTGGCATGTGCAGCCTGCCGCTCTCGGCTTTCTTTTTTTTTTTTTTTTAAAGATTTTATTTATTTATTTGGGAGAGAGAATGAGAGAGAGAGAGAGCATGAGAAGGGGGAGGGTCAGAGGGAGAAGCAGACTCCCCGCTGAGCGGGGAGCCCGATGCGGGACTCGATCCCGGGACTCCAGGATCATGACCTGAGCCGAAGGCAGTGGCTTAACCAACTGAGCCACCCAGGCGCCCCGCTCTCGGCTTTCTTGATGAGGCAGGACTTTCTCCTGCGGCTGCCGCTTGGGCCTTGGGAGGCTTTCAGGTCGCTCCAGATAGCATGGGTATGCACACTGCACTGCGAAGGCGCCGTGTCAGCTCTCAGTGACTCCAGCCAGACACAGCTAACAGACAGGAACAGCAAACAGCTTTGAACAGGGGCACCTAGGAAAGGCGAGGATTCTGTTCCCCGCTTTCTTTTCCTTTTCGCGTACCTTCCAAGACTTGGACTGGAAAACCTGAGCCCGCTGGTGGGAGCTCTGAGTTTTCCCGTGACCTCAAGAGGGCACGCAGCAGCTGTAACCTCACCTCTGCCTCCAGATGGCATTGTCGCCACATCATCGGTTCCTGGTAAGCCGGTCCTTATCCCATTGTTAAAGGTGTGTCCATCTGCTGGCTGCAGTTGCCAATTGAGTCCGAGCAGATGCATTGCTGCAGGAGAGACAAAGTAATGACAATATGAATAGATAATTCAGCAATGCAAATGTCAAGGGGGAGGGCCAGGTGCTTTTTCCAAGTGATTGCCTTTTAAGGAAGCTGCAGTTCAAAACCTGCTTGCCCCAGGCCGCTGGGATTAGCTAAATACGGAAAGCAAGGAGATCTGGGTGGTGAGGACTCCTCTCTCTGTGCGTCTGTTCACAGCCTTGCGGGAGAGGATCCCGGTGGTGGGCCGAGGAGGTAGGAGACACCCTAGCTCAGACCTTCTGAATGGTGCTACCAAGGAGGGGGAAATGCCCCTTTGGAATCACTGTCAAGGATTCTGCTCCATCATGTGCAGCCTCTCCCACACTGTGGACGCGGTTGTTTTTAGACTGGTGGTCCGGGGGCGTTGGCAAGGATAGTTTCGCCCAAACTACTCAAAACATAAATCGGCTTCAAAACGAGGCTACCCAAGCGGGACCTGTCTGCTGGTGGGACCGCAGCGACACTGGATTAGCAATGCCGCAGGGCCTGTCAGACCTTTGCATTCCAAGCTTTCTCACCGTTTCTGCCGCCAAGTGGGTACCTTTCAGCCCACTGTGGAAAAAGCTTGGGGGTGCTGGTGGAACGGGGTCCTTTCCCGAAAATACTCCAATGACACTTTCTTCTCTCTCACACCCCACACCCACCCCCGCACTTTACCACAGAACAGAATGAGCCAGAGCGCCAAGGCGCTGTGCTAAGGAGGCAAGCCTGTCGGACTCCTGCTTTACTTCCCTGTGCACTGCACCCCTCCAGACACAAACTTCCTTCCTTCCTTCCTTCCTTCCTTCCTTCCTTCTTTCCTTCCTTCCAGTCTTCCTCATCACCCTGTGCCAGCTCCCCACTTCCCAGGTGGTTTAGCAAGCTCAATTCACCCCATCTCCCATGGTTCTGGGTGAGTTGTTTTCACAAAGGAGACCTGGAGTGAAAGGCAAATCCCAAACACCTGTATTCTTTCAAAGTCCCCATCTAAGAAAAGCTTCATTTGCAAATAAATAAGGAGTTCATTCCCCTGCATATTGCCCATTCCAACAATATGTCTGGCATTCCAACCGGACACAGGTTGATGCTGTGCCTACGGTTCTGGCACTGCAGGAGAGAAAGGGCTGTTGACAGGGAAAGGTTCTGAGTATGATGCGGGATGGGAGAAACAATTAACCACAGGAGACGCAATTAACAATGCTTAGGAAATTGTTCACACAGCAATTAATTCTGCATGCCTACCAACACTTAAAGTCAGGCTGCATTCTATTAAGGTTAAAAACCTATCTTCAAACAATACAGCTCAGATTGATGGCCGCAGATTAAGGTGCCAAGGTGTCCCTGGGTGTATGTCTGCTTTTTTTCTTACATACTTCCCCATCTCAGAACCACGTTGTTTTTTTTCCCCTATACATTACTTTGACGTGCAAGGCAACTCTTTTAGATGATAAATACTAATAAGAATAAGTGACATTTACTGTACACTTTCTGTCAAGGCAACACCTAATTTTCTCCTGCAGTTTATCCGTTATATGTAGGTCACTCACTTGAAGAGACCGGATTCTATTGCCTCAAATAATGACATATTTTCACTGTACAGAGGTCAGGAAATGAGAACTAATCGTGGCTGCTTCAAGATAACGATAGCTTCTGATTTGTAATTACCAGGTGAAGGAAGCCAAGGAATTAGCTATTTTAAAATGATTCCTTTTTTAATGTCGCGGGTTCTTGGGGCTTGCCTGGAGCCAGCCTGCTGCTGCCGTGGAGGGGTGGCTCATTCACGGAGGGTCTCCCTGTGTTTTAAGACAGGCACTGCAGGTGCAGCTGGGGCTTTGACCTAACAAAGCTCGGATTTTCTCATCTACAGAAGGAAGCGGTGGGTCTATCAGGCAAGAATGGCAACCTCCCCAGGGCCCCATCAGTGTGAAATCTCTTTTCAAAGCCGTTCCTCTCTTCTAATACCCCATCTTGGCCCTCCAAGGTGAGGAATATACTGCGACCGTCAACTTTGAGAGAACAGCAAGCAGACAATACCCTCATCTTACTGCACAGAAGGAGGGCATTCATGAAACCATGTTCTCTCTGTTTTCAGAGATGCTCGCCCTTCCCTTTTTGTTTTGGGTTCCATAGCATCTCTTTATTAAAAAATAAAATAAAAAACGTATTCTGAGAACAAGAAGACTAGAGATGGGGTGAGAAGGGTTAGGGTCAGAGTATACAAGTAACTGCTCAGACAGCTCCCAGAAGTGAAAAGAAAAATAAGAAAGTGAGAGGGAGATAAAAGGGGAAAAGCCAAATCTGCTGAGCGTAAGCTCTGTCGTCCCAGCAGAAACGAGGCAACAAAAATGAAACTCAAGTTCGGGCATATTTTCTGTTGTTGAATTGAACGTTAAGTAAATAAGTGAGAATTATATCAGGGGTATAACCACCTTCTTTTGTTTTTTGGGGAGGGAGGCTGAAACAGGCTTTTGTTTGTACTTTTTTTTTTCTTGATCAGCTATTCCTTCTCTCTTACTTGAGTAGAAAATGAGAATATCTTTCTAGCCTATGGGGATGGACTAAACTGTCCTTAGGATAAAGACACAGGGGAGCTGTGAAGTAAATGAGTTTCCTGACTAATGAGAAATCTGTTTCTTATTCTGCTACTGATTTGCTCTAAGGCTGGGGCCGAGAAATCCATCCCTCCATCCATCTTTCCCTTTACCTTCTGAAAAGGTTTCCCTTTCCAGGGGGAATAAGGGCTGCTGAGGGACCGGGACAGCGGGAGAGGTCAAGCAACCACAACACCTCCAAAGATCTAGCAGAGGGTCTCAAATCTAGGAGGCACTCCATCAATGTTTATTAGAATAGATAATGACACATGGGGGCAGATACAGGGGGTCGGACTGCAGGACATTATACTCTCACAAATCAAAAACACATAACACAGAGGTGTGAAGGGTGGCATACAACAGGGCTGGCAGCAATAGGGATGGGTGTGCACAGAGGAGGGTTTATCAATGCCTGCTGCAGTCCCCGAACCCCTTCTCTGGCCAGCACTGTAGGAGATGCTCTACGGGTTCTATTTTCATCAAGATTCACGGCTTACGTTCAGGTTGGTACTGTCCTAATCCCCATTTCACAGATGAAGAAACTATTGACTATGAGGTTTGATCACTGGGGGGATTTCAGAATCAGAGGAAGATTACAGTGGGAAGTGATTATCTGCTTCATATTTCACAGTGATCTGGGTACCAATTCTGGTTGGCAATGTGATCTCAGCAAACCTTGTCTCTTTCTTGAAACTCATGATCACCTCACTGTGGTTGATGAATGACCATCTTCTATATTCTGCACCCCTTCATGAAGGGCTTATATCTATCTCCTCATCTTGTTGGATTCAGATGTGGCCACATGACCCAGCAGCACACACTCTATATGCCTTTTTGTACTCTGCCACATGGTCAGCCACGGTTCAGTCTTGAGTGAAGATAACATGGCTCAGAGCCATGGCTGACCCGTGAGAGGACACAGTGTGAGTGAAGAAATAAACTGTTAGTGCTATAAGCCGCTGGGAGTTTGGGGTTCTTTGTTTTAACAGTATTATTGAGACTTCCCTGACTGAGACGTTCACTTACCACAGCCCCCACTCACTTACCTATGGGGTGTACGTTCCAAGACCCCCCCGTGGATGCCTAAACCTGCAGACAGTACCAAACCCTACATACATTCCTATGGTAAAGTTTAATCTATAAATGAGGCACAGTAAGAGATTACAATGATAGCAAATAATAAAACAGAACCATTATAAAAATATACCCTAATAAAAGTTGTGTGAATGTGGTCTCTCTCTCTTAAAGTATCTCACTGTTCTGTCCTCGCCCTTCTTCTTGCAATGGTATGAGCCAATAAAATGTCTACGTGACGAGACCAAGTGAGGTGAATGGCGCGGACACTGTGACATAGCATTAAGCCACTACTGACCTTCTGACCACGCATCGGAAGGAGCACCATCTGCTTCCAGACCACGGTTGACCACGGGTAACTGAACCTCAGAAAGCAAAACCGCAGAGAAGGACTACCGTGTAAGTACAGTAAGACATCCCATTTTACACAAAGGGCATCTGTGCATTCATTCCTTCAAGTTATTTATTTATTCAGTCAGGATCCTTTCTAAAACCCAGCCAGGAAAAGTTAGGACTGCTCCGTACTTAGGGTCACTACCCTTGCTTCTATGAACAGCAACAACACAAATAGCTCTTTAAATATTATGTCATAAAATATTTGTGATCCACTCTCAGATTCAGACTTAGAGAGTCTCAAGATTTTGGGTGAACACTGGCCTCATCAACTTACATTTTCTTCAACGAGACACCTTGGATGCAGTGGGGTGGTCCCCGCTTTTGCTCCCTACAAATGCTCTAGCAGCTCATCCCCAAAAGGTCTTGTTCAGACCATCCTAGGGTCAGAAGTGAAATGAGTTTGGGAGGTCCTCTCCCTCATGTGAGTCACCCCCACTGACAGCCAAAATGCACAATTTATCATGATTTGGCAGGCTCTGCTCCAGAGAGACCCTCAGATGGAACAATGGGGCTCCATGGGTCAGCAAGGATGGAATGGGGAAAAGCTCCAAGTGGAAGTTCGTGTAATCCAGGTGGCAGCTGGGAAATCAGCCACTAAAAACACAATAGGCAGCCAAGGACTGCGAGTATCCCTATGGCTAATTGGAGAAAACTTTCATCAAGTGCTGAAAATGAACCAAGGCAGGATGGACAGACCACACACAGATCCCAGATTTCAGCAAGAATAATAAACAGACCCACTTGGAGTTAGGGTGGTATTTCCTTAGTGAGGCGGCCTGTGTTTATGCCAGAGGGGCTCTAAAAGAAATACTCCGAGGGGACCAAGTGAAAATTAAGAGAGAGGGGTTGGTTGCATGTAACAGAATCCCCCAGCGACCACAGGACAGGAGGTGTTAGGCCCTGAAAAGTGGCAGCTTGGAATGGGGG